TAATCGCTCTACACCGCATCCGATGGCTTGGTCACGTATTTCGTATGCCTGCCCATTGATTACCTTTCTATGCTCTCTTCGAACATTCCGGGCAAGGCTGAAAGAAGTGCAGCAGCGGTCTGACCATGACATGGCACAGAGGTATGAAGAAGCTGACTTTCGCTTTGGCTTCGGTTGGTGCAGCCCGCCTTCCAGGTTGGAACCCAATGGATGAGGATTGTCGTTGGTTAGGGACGCTAAGAGATATGTCCCAGAATAGAAGTCAGTGGCGCGAATGCTGTACGATTTTCCTGTTGAAGTCCCGTGCCACATAGAAAAGATAAACCAACACAAAAATTGTTATCCCATTTATTCATAATTTTCTTTTTAATAGTTCCACCTTTTTTTCTATGTTCTGTATTCCAATCCTCCTACCCCCTATTGTTGTTATTGTTATTATTGTTGTGGCGTTGGCACTATGCTTTCCCGCAAACCGGTGTTATATATATATATATATATATATATATATATATATATATATAAGAAAAAGAAACATGGATTCCACACTAAAAAAATCATTACTGCGAGAATATCACGTTTCAAACGGAATGAATAACTTACTAGAACCATGTGGAGAAAATTTAGATTAAGTGAAATGCCCGAGTAGATCAATGTGCGTCCGCACGCGTTTCGTTAGCCATGCTACCAAGTTTGTTTATTCTGCAAACACTTTGTGTGTGTATGTGTGTGGAAATAACTTTCCACAACAACGACAACACCTTGCTTGCCCGTGTAGGGGTGTGGAGCGTGTGAGAATGAGGCTGTCCAAACACACTGATTTTCCGAATTCCGATCAAGTTGGAGAGAGACTGGTGCGTAGAAATTCTACCACAGTGACTCGAAGAGTTTCGGCGTTGAGTGCAATCTGACACATTCGTTTGTCAAGATACTTGGTTAAAATGAACGACAAATCAGTTGAGTAACCAACCTAACGTATGTATGTTCTTCCTAAGTGTTTCTTGTTTCCTGGAGGGTTTGATTCGAATGCATAAGCAGCTTTTGCTGAAAGTCAGGAACAGTGAAGCTGTTTACCAAGCGATTTCGGAGCTGATCCTCCAAATGGATTCCCTCAATCACATTTCGAAGTCAAACCACTAAACGGTATTACCACAAACGAAAACAACCCGACCCGAGTGATTCCCCTATTTGATGAACGAAATCAACTTTACTTTTTGGGCCATGGTGAATATGAGTGGTTCGAAATGTTACAGCGGTTTTTCGAATCACTTATCTGCCCACATATGACAAATGTGTTCAAAAATACTGCTCACTGAATTGCAAGGAACATGCCTTTTTCTTTTCATTCTCCAATCGTTTCTTCTTTAAATACCAGATTTGAAAGAGCTCAGCATAATCATCTGCCTACTGGATTCACTTTTATTAGTTATCTTGCTTGTAATATATATTGTAATACACACACACATGTATATATATATATATATATATGTGTGTGTGTGTGTGTGTGTGTGTGTGAGTGTATCAGAATCATATTTCCCTTGTCATTTGGGGCTTCCAAACAAGTTTCCCGTGCTTTATTCCCCTTTTTTAAATAGTCTAATACGCTTTTCTAGCCTTTATATGACTCACATGGTCTTCTCATTATAAATGAGGGAATTGAACAACACATTTTTCAGTACTACTAAATTTCAATAGGGGTCATCGAAAAAGAAGGCTTTGCTTAGCGTTACTTAATTATTTCCGGATCGCTTTACCTTTGACCATGATCTTCAGGTTTTCGGCGTATTCACTGGTACCCGATCATATTCGATGAGCTCAGTCCAGCCGAACAGAATGAGGGGTTCGCTTGTGAGGTTTCCGAACCGGGGGAAGTATGCGTCTGGCATCGTGATTTTCCCGACTCTATCATGGATGGGCCCCACGAGGAAAGGTGAGTTCACTGACAATTACCTCCCCCGGCCCCGTATTGCGTATCCAGTCGTGTTTTTATGTGTTATCTACTAATTATGTTTTTTTACACTTTTGTAGAGACGGGCGATTTGTGGTCTCGTTCGATGGAATTCTACGCGGACGAGATTCCGCCACGGTTTTTTGTATCATTGGATCTCCCAATGCCCTGTACAACGTTTCAGTCGTTGTGTTCCAATCCAGGCTGGCAGGTAAGCCGAAATTCCTGTTTTTTTCTAATCAGAGCAGTTTCTCATTCGGAGTATGCCAATCGCTCATTGGATCGGACGTGCATGCAAACACTGATCGTGCTATCCCAGTTGCGCGACAGATTTCATCCTACCGTTCCGGGCATTTTCGAGTTCTGCAATCCACCCGCGACTGCACCAATCTGTCCGTGGCCGGTGATCTTCACTCCCATGAACGAGACTGTGCAACGGATTAATTGTGCGGCTCGAGGTAGTCCTGTGCCCACCGTGTCCATTCTGTGGAATGGGTGCATACTGACCGAAAACAGTGGTGCAATTCATGGGGTGAGTAGTGATTCATTCCCGGGTTCCGTATGATTGCTCGTCACAAGCACGTTGATCTCTCTCTCTCCCCGTGTGTGTATGTGCAAGAACCACGGGGACTCGGAACTGCAACACAGAAATTTCACCTCCAGGGTTGTCACTGCTACCCGGATTATTATGATGGCACTTCACAGGCGTCTGAATTCATTCATTCATTCATTCATTCATTCATTCATTCATTCATTCAGACTGTGCCAAAAACGAAACAAATCATGGTAGCATAACTTTCAGAACAGTGAGGTCTGTCTGTGTTTTCCTCTCTGATGGAACAGTGCCAGTGCTAGGTCGTTCAGGCCAAGGCAAGTTGCCAATCAAAATTGTGATTAGTGTTATGGGGTAAATTATATTGATGGTGTTGCTGCTGACGGGGCCCAAGCAACTGAGGGATCTTATCTTTTAAGAGGAAATGTTCAATTTAGTTCAGTTCATACAGCCATTAACCACGCACCTTCGTGCGCCAGTTTCGGTTGCCGTCTTTCGGCTGCGCATTTGGATGAAGAATAGGAGAAAGACAGGAAATTTGAGTATAGAGTCGAACAGAAAATGGAGAAGTTCAGTGGACTAGGTTTGCAAAGAAATTGAGATGTACGAATGCCGCAGCCATATCATTCAGTGTCTCTAACCATCGGGATCTACGTGACCCAGACTCCTGGTTAGGGTTTTCACACCCGCATGCCAGGTCTTAGCTTGACCACCCTTGGCTTTATTCTACTAACTACCAGCCTCGGCAAATATCGCTCGCCGTGGCAACCTATTTGGTGACATGCGTAAGACATAACCCAACCAACGTAATCTAAGGAGGTTGACCATTTGCTCCAGTGGGCGACCGCGTTTGCCTAA